TTGGCAAAATTTTAAGAGATGGATGTACTACTATGTATTCATTTAGGATGTTTTTACTTGGACTGTAATTTGCTGGTCTGGTCTGGTCTGGTATGATCTGGTCTGGTCTGGTCTGGTGTGGTCTGGTCTGGTCTGGTCTGGTCTGGTTTCTTTGTATTTTTATAACTATCCAAGCCTGGTCTGGTCTGGTCTGAACTGGTCTGATCTGGTCTGGTCTGGTCTGGTCTGGTCTGGGACGAATTACAGTCCAAGTAAAAACATCCTGAAATTACTAACACTTACGATTCTAATCTCATATTGCTCCCATATTTGCTCCCTAAAGCTAATGAAAATAAATAAATGGATTAATAAATAATAGTAATAGTAAAGTATTATTATTATTAATTAATACTCCACCTTTACCAAAATATGAATTGTATTTTTAGTAAAAAGTAAGAATTTAGACACCGTTTTTTCTGGTCCGGTTTCGATTAAGAACTGGTTAAATCAATTTAATTCCGAATATAATTGGAATACAAATGATCCGGTTTTCAATTTCTATTTTTTACAATTCAGGTTCCGATTTGGTTTGGGTAGTGTGATTTTGAACTGGTGCACAACCCTAATTAGAATGTTTTTAATTGGACTGTAATTCAAGAGTTTGCGTGATCTGATATGAACTAGTTTGATAGTTGTCTTTTTTTTAGTCCGAACTAAATTCAGATAGTGTAATTTAACTCCATCATTTTTTTTACATACTAATAACTAAATCATATAATTCCTTCATTAATGTTTTTTGAAAGAGAAGATTTTATTCATAAACAGAAAGGGTACAAGCGAGAGAAATAGTACACAAAAGGAAAAAAACACAAAAATACAGGAAAGGATAAAAGGAAAAAAAACTAGGCCCATGGAAATTGTTTCGATTGAGACCGGGTCCTCATGCTATGACATCTTTTATTCTTCGGTGTTATACAATTTATACACTCTTTTCCCTTCACAATCTATACCTTTAGCGGTTATACAATTTATATTTCGGCTCCTAAACAGTACTAGGCCGGAATAATATGCCTCACCGACCTATAAATACACTCTTTTCCCTTCACATTCAATTCATCAATTCCTTTATACTTCTAAGCTCCGTTTAGTCAAGTATTATATATATATATATATATATATATATATATATATATATATATATATATATATATATATATTTAGCATGTTTAGTCTCCAAATGAGGAACTAAACTCTTCCATCTTGGTTTTGCTATATTGAAGCTTATGATTGGTAAGTTTTGAGTTATTTTCATTAATCATCTTCCTTGAATTAATATTAAATACTTTCCTATTTTATATCTCATATTAATATTTGAGCATTACTCAAAGGATCAACTAGTTTTGTTTCATATATTAATTATTACTAGAATCGATTGAAGAATACACATGTTAATCGTTCGGTCCTTTCAACGATAGTAAACTTGGAATATTAATGCATGTGTCTCATGGTTAATAATCTAAGAGGAATTGATTATATTGATTAAATCAATAAACTGCTTGTGTATGTTGAGGTTATCAATCTCAACCGATTTCATCTCAAATTTTATTGCTATGATCGGGTCAATATACGGGCTTGATAGTACGTTTTATTAATGAACGTGTCTCGTTATTAATAACTACTCTCGATGAATTCAAAATACTCCACGTTTGAGTATTCGAGAGGAAGATAGTTAAAGATATAACCGGGATCGACGAACATTTCATTAAGTGGAAATAAGCAAAATCAAGTCTCAATCTCTATTTTATTAAACCACATAAGTCGTTCATCTTAGGGCATGTTTGATACAACTAGTTGAAAAGATATTTTTGTGAACTTTTTATTAACTGTTGGCTTTTAGTGTCTGGAAATATCTTAAAAGGAAAATGTGATAGTTGTTTGGTAAAAAGCTGACTATTTGATTTAGTTCTGTTTGGTATGCAAGCTGTTAGGACTAATTAATGGTAAAAGCCACAGACTTTTCTCAGATGGTACTCTCCGTATCATCTCAAAAAAGATCTTTTATTTTCTAAAAACTCTTAAAAATTGTCATGCCAAACATACAACTAGAAACTTTTAAAGATTGTTTGAATAATACATGCACTTAGTGTTAAATTAATTAAATCAAAATCAATCTTAACCCCTCCCCCTTGTTACAATTTAATTAAAAGAAATATATTTTTTCACAGTGGATATGATCCTTATTTTCACTATACTATGTATAAATATAAAGTATTGTATTGAATATTATTTTGAGTCACACAACGATCGTGGTCAAATATATTCAATTGAAAGCATTTTTAAAATGATAAGTATTCATCTTTAGTTGAGAGTTCACTTTTGTGGAAGTTTGCTAGCGAAATGAGTTGTAACTTCTAATACTTACTGTCTAATGGTGCTGGTGGATGTAGCTTAACTAATAGATAGATGCAAACTGTTTACGGGCTTGGGAGCCTGGGCTCCTGTAGTTTTTTTATTTGTTACTCGTATTATATACTTGGTATATTGATATATAGTAATATAAGGATGAGATCACATACAAATCATGCTTAACTTACTAACCTACAAACTCAATAATATGCAACACTTTGAACTTCAATATGCGGTGCGAATAATGTAAAGATGCACTCTTTGAATTTCAATATGCAATACATATAATGTAAATATGAAACTGCTATTTTATGACTTGAATAATATGAAACACTTTGAACTTCAATGTGCAATACAAATAATGTAAAGATGATTTGAATGGGAGAACTACTTTGTATGTTATCTCACCCCTGCATCTTTACATTATTTTTACTGCATGTTGAAGTTCAAAGTGATGCATATTATTGAGTTTGTAAGTTAGTATTTTAAACATGGTTTGTATTTGATCTCTTATTTTGATATATATATATATATATATATATATATATATATATATATATATATATATATATATATATATATATATATATATATATATATATATATATAGAGAGAGAGAGAGAGAGAGAGAGAGAGAGAGAGAGAGAGAGAGAGAGAGATTTAGGTTTAGGTTCATGTGAGAAAACCATCTTATGAGAGAAATGAGAACAATCTACAACCATTAGATGAAGTTGCTGATTTATCTTTTTTGGAATTTACGTAGAGGGCTATTAGGTCATTTAATTTTCTTTCCTTCTTCCACGTTTTTTTTCTCAAACCATCTTTCCTTGTTTTCCGCATGGTTAAAATTAAATGCTCCTTCCAAATAATAATCTAATTAACTACTCTTGCAGTATTATTACGTAAGGTACTAAATTATTAATCATTAATTTCTCACAAAACTAAAGTTGGAAGCAGATACACATATTCCATTAATTAATTCTATTAATACTATTTGATTTTTATTGCATCGTGTCAAGATATTAATGCACTCTCTTTTAATTTGAATTTTGTCAACTTCTTGTGCATAATAGGGAAATACATATATATGCACTATCTGAATGAAAATAATGCACTTTATTTTAGAAAGTTTGATATAATTAATAGTGCACTTTTATATTTAAAATTCACATAGTAAAAGTGCATTCATTTTGTAAAGGAGTGCTCATCGTACTTTTTTTTAATATTGCTAATGTAGTAATTTAGAAACTCCAAAGTAATAGTGCACTTTTATTTATATTTAAAATGCATGTGATAATTTAGAGTTTATTTTGTTAGCTTTATATAATGCACTTCAAATGTATTTTAGTGCATAATAAATCTATCACTAATGTACACTTAATATTTTAATTCACTTTAACGTTCAGTTTAATGCACTTTTATATATGACTGTTGCACAATTAGTAGGGTTTTGAATTCACACTCATGTAGTATATTTTTTGATTTGTAGATTTGCACTAATAATTAGTGCACCTCCATTGACATGTAATGCATTTTATGTGTTAATTATGGAACACTTGCACAATAGCTTCCCATTTTAAGAGAATATCAATAAAAGTGCATTACATGCATTTCAAATAAAAGTGCATTTATTCAATCGTTGAAGTGCGAGTACACAAAATTACGTGAAGGAAATATTGTACCTGACAAGACTAGTAAATATGAAAAAATGCATACTTCAAATAAAGTTTTTTATGAAATTATTTATCCAGATAATATGTGAAAGAATACTGAAATTGGAACGAAAATTAATTAAAAGGAAGTACTTAATAATAATAATAATAATAATAATAGAAAAAATAATAATAGAATAAGAGGTAGTTATTGCTTATTAATTACTATCCTAATAAGTAGGATGTTTTTCCTATTGTGGTGCAACGTGCTTGACATATATATGAATGCATTTGACTATAGTGCCCCTTATTTAAAAGTGAGTTGCAAGGCTGCCATAATTACCAAATAATTATACGAATGTTATGCATACATGCCTCTCTTTTGGGAAAATCTAGACCATTATGCCATATAAATAAATTCCAACACTATGAATTAAATATTAAAAAGTAGTGCATGGTATGATGCAAAAAATTGTACGTAGTTTATTAAAAATGTCTAAAACTTATACTCATGCGTTTCAAATTGAGTTGCAAAATTGACTTTTTCTAGTCAAGTAAATTCATTTTATTCACTTAATTATGATATCAATTCTTAATAATATTTTAATTTGGATTTTGAAATTTCTAAGAAGTTCTAATATAGTTTCTGAAAATGTAAATTTTAATTATTAGAATTGAATTAATTATCAATATGGATGATTTAACTTTAATATTGGTGGACAAAAATGTTGACTTTGCAAAAGGATTGACTTATTTTTAGCAATATAATATAGAAAAATAAGGGGGGAATTTTACTTTGCACACCACTTTTTGCGTGATATTGGACTTTGCACCTCATTTTAATTTTTTTTTATTTTGCACCCCATTTTGAAAAAAAAAATTGACTTTGCACCCCAAACATAACATTTTGTAAAGAAAAATTTGTGAATGGGGTGCAAAGTCAAATAATTTTTAATAGAATGAGGTGCAAAGTCAAATAATTTTTAATAGAATGGGGTGCAAAGTCAAACTTTTTTGAAAATGGGGTGCAAAATCCAATATCACAAAAAAGTGGGGTGCAAAGTCAAATCCCCCAAAAATAAGAGTACTTATGTTCCCTGACTCCTGAGACAGAACACTCCAAACGGCAAACACAACCTTTTCCGAATGGCCCAGATGTAGCAGTGTTGTAGCCTCTTCGATACTTCCTCTTGCCGCTGCCCGCCTTGACACATACCATAATTCATGGGCCGCAACAAGCCGCCCACATTGCCAGAAACCTTGCCTTTCCTATATGTGCCCATCCAAGATCCCCGAGATGGTTCCGCCACTGCTGATAGATATGGGATGTCACAAGGAGTAAAGCTCGAGTTCGAATCTCGGCAAGTATGATGAGAAGTTACCATATAAAAATGCATAGTCTTTGCAAGTACCTGGGTCATAGCCTCACTCGGTATTTATCAGCTTGTGATTAAAGTCCAATTTACATTCTTTTAGTTAATTGTCCGACCGATAGTGAGAAGCCCTCGGGGATGGACGTCATCTTCTTTTGTCATCTTTTTTCTACATTGTAATGGCGAATAACCTCACCATAGATATCACTCTCATTATAAATGAATATATATACTCCTAGTACATACAATAATGTATGAAGAGGTGAAGATTGTGCTGTCTTGCTTTCTAAAGTAGTGTGTGTGTATATATATGACAAATGTTCAGGTCCGGAATTCCGGACCAGAATCGCCGTCCGACCGATGGCTTTTGGGGTCCTTCCCGGTGGATTTTTCGTTGAACTTTTTATAGCATGTTCTTCATCAAGTCTAGTTTATCCACACAAAACATCAGCTAAAAACTCAATCCGGAAGGTTGTCAAATGACTTTTCGAAGTTAACTGCGTTTTATATGTATGTTTTTGCGCAGTTACCTTCAAAAAATCATTTGACAACCTTCCGGATTGAGTTTTTAGCTGAATTTTTTTGGTGGATAAACTAGACTTGATGAAGAACATGCCATAAAAATTTCATCAAAAACATCCACCGGGAAGGATTCCAAAAGCCGTTGGCCGGAGTGCCGGACGGCGGTTCCGGTCAGGAAGGCCTGACCGGAACACTACTATATATATATAATTAGGTTCAAATGAGAAAATGATCTTAGGAGGGAAATGAGAATGAATCTGAATCGTTAGATTGTTTTATGTGAAATTGAATGTGTATTAGCTCAAATTGAAATGTGTATTAGGTGAAACTGAAATGTGATGCACAAAAGGTAAGGCACAGTGATATTATGTGAAGCTGAAGTGTGCATTATGTGAAACTGAAATATGCATTAGGTGAATTTTAAATATGCAGAATAAAATTGTGCCATTTTTAGTTCTCCACGTATTGTGTCAAAAACATTGGAAGGACCAAAAATGTCAATTTGATAACAATAACGGGACTAAATGCGGGAAATTTTGAAGTCAAGGACTAAAAGTGTCTCTCACACAATAGTCACAAGATTAAAAGTGGAAGTATTGAAAGTAGAGTACCAAAAGTGTCACTGACACAATAGTTGAGGGACCAAAAATGGAAAAAACTCTTGTTCAGGGACATTCCAAGACAAATAATAGAGGGAAAGAAAATAGAAAGAGATCGAAAACTCACAACTATAAATTGTGCAAATATTTAGCCCAAGGACTGTAAGCCAGTGCCCTAAAAGGCTAAAACCAGAAGAAATACATTAAAATAGGACCTTGATGGTACCATGGAACCCGACCATGGCCCAATTGTGTGAGCCCGGCCCATAAACGAGATTAACCTTTAACGGGACTGATGATAGATAACCACTAGGCCTAAGTAGGAACCAAGCCCACGAGAAGAACCCACAGCCAGGTCAGGCTGGAAAGCATGCCTCGAGCCTGGGCGGAGTTCTAGTGAGGCTGGGATATTCCTAGGGCTGACGTGGCATGCTATCAACAGAAGTGGCAGCTGGCAGAAGTTAAACGGCTGGAACGTGGAATAAAGGAACAATCATTGCACAACGGCCGAGACGTTACAAGAGTTCTATTCGAGCTAATGCATCATTAATAGCATTTATTGTATCAGTTTCCTTTTGTAACATTAGTTCCTTAGCCTATAAATACAACTTGTAAACCTCCAAGAAGGGGATCGATGAATGAAACACTGCCACACGGTGCCACATTATCATCTGCTTCCATAGATTTAGCTCTTGTTGTTGGATTAAACTCCATCATTTGGTGCTCTCGTTGAGAGCTCAATCTTCGATGAACCATGGTGGGATCTCATAGCCACAACCGGGGAGGCAGCAATCTGGGCGGTAATCGTCACGATCAAGTAGTGATCGAAGATGAAGGCTCTCGGTCACGACGAAGTGACTTTCGAAGGCGTAACGACAACCCGGCGAGATTGGAGGACCTCAGAAACCGCCTCCAAGCCGTTGAGAGTTCTAGGCGGGCGGCAACACGACCACCGTAGTTTCATACGCTTGGCACTGGGAACCGTATTCCCAATATCGATCCGGCTCAGGCCCTAGCCAGTTTGGCAGCATTCCAAAGGGCGGTGGAAACCTTGACCACCGCTTTCCAATGCATCATCCCTAATGAGGGTGCGGGATCCCCTTCACCTCGCCGGGCTCCGTCAGTATCCCGACAGGAGGAGGGGCACGAGCATTCCAGGAGGGGCTCTCCGCCATCCCGATCCCAACATTCCCGTCGTTCCAGGCAAACTCCGAGGACACCGGTGATGGACCAGATTGGTGGACAAAGGGTCTCCGTGCATGAACGGATCTCATCCTGACCTGAGCCAAGCATGGAGGCGTCATCCGCGGCTGTTTCATCCCACCACCGCAGTGTGCATGGGGGAGATCTCAGAGACGAGATCAACGCCAACCGGTAGGGCCGCAGGTATCGACGATCCCCAAAGGGAAGTGGACGTAAGGATTAATCCCAACCACGAGGTGAGCATTCCTGAACCGTTTGTTCGTCAGATTATGAATGCTCCGCTACCCCAAGGATACTAGCCTTGCAATATAGAGGCATACCGAGGGAAGACAGACCCACAACACCATGTTTCCAGATACGTGGCATATATGGTGATGATGGGGTATGAAGACGCCATCAAGTGCAGGGGATTCTCGGTAACGCTTGATGGACTGGCTCGAGAGTGGTATGATTCCCTACCTAATGGGAGGATCCGGAACTTTAAGGAGTTGGCCCATGCTTTTGTGACTCGATTCGCTAGCTCTAAGGATTCCAAGAAGAATTTTTCTCATCTCTTGGGGATCAGACAGGGACCCCAGGAGAGCTTGGTTGATTTCTTGGCCCAGTGGAGGGACGAATCCGTGAAGGTGGACGACCTGGATGACAAGTCCGCAGTCGCCATACTAACCAACGCTCTGAGATCGAGCGAGTTGTACAAGGATTTTGTCTGAAACCCTCCGGCCTCACATGAGCAGGCCCTGCAGCGAGCAAACGCGCAAGCCGGAGTAGAAGAAACTGAGAGAAGAAAGAGAGACGAAAAGACCGGGAAACGCCAACCTGAGGGCGAAAAGAAGAAGACCCTTGAGAAGGAAACCCTTGACTCCGACAAGGGGAATGGGTCCATGAAGAAGAAGAAGGGCTGGGGAAAGGGCAAATCAGTTGTGCCTGAGGGGCCGCTGACCAGCCACACAGATTTCTCCCCTTCTGCGCATCAAGTAAGTACTGTCCTGAGGTGTGAAACATCATCCACAGTCAGAATCCCAAGAACAAGTACTGCAAGATCCACAAAACTGACTCTCATCAGACCAACGATTGTTACATCCTGAAGAAGTATGTAGAAAAGCTCGTGCGGGAGGGTCAGTTGGAGCAATTTGTAAAGCAAGCCCAGCAAGGACAGCCTCCAGCGAGAAAACTCACCTAGAGCAGTGAGAAGGACGCGCCAACCTCGTCCTCGAAGATGAGGGAGGTTGGGGCCCAATTTGATGATGAGGAAGGAGAGGACACTGGCAGACAGAAACGACCTCACGTCAACCAGATCTACGGCGGACCTGTGGGGGGGATACGGCGGGAGAAAGAAAGAAGTGGAATCGCCGACTATTCGTCGGCGAGATCAGCCGTCTTCCCGCCGACAAAAGGCAGAAACGTGAGTCAATAACTTTCACGGATGACGATTTTCCCCCATGTCCCCCACCACATAGGGACGCGCTAGTGGTCAAGATAGAGGTCGCAGACACGATCGTTCACAGGGTGCTGGTGGACAATGGCATCTCGGTCAATATTCTTTACATGGATGCCTTCCTTGAGGTTGGGCTCAAGAAAGAAGATCTCAGACCGGTAAGAACCCCCCTTTCAGGTTTTACTGGAGGTATAATTGAGCCTGAGGGAATGATAACCCTCAAGATCCAACTCGGATTGGAACCCTGCATACGGGAGATTGAAGCGGACTTCATCATTGTCAAAATACCGAGCGTACACAAGGCCATCCTGGGCAGACCCCTGTTGGAAGTCCTGGGAGCCATTATTTCCCAGGCCCACCTATGCATGAAGTTCTACACTACATTTGGGATTGACACGGTGAGAGGGGATCAGAAGATGGCCAGGAGTTGCTATGTGAGGGTCTGCAAGGCTCACGGGGGAAGTGACATGAGGATCAATGCCATTGAACAAGACCTATCTAAATATGAGGATGGGCAACTCAGAGCCCAGTCGGCCTCAGAGCTCCAGGAGGTCGGGGTCGACCCATCACGGCCAAAGCACTAAGTGAAAATTGGGGCAGGACTCCCGACCGGCCTGAAAGCGAAGATAGTCCGAGTTCTGGTAGAATTCAAGATGATTTTCGCTTGGGGACCTGAGGATATGCCCGGGCTCGACCCAAGAATCGTTGTTCATCGATTGAATGTGGATCCAAAAATAACGCCAGTAAAGCAGAAAAGGAGATACCTATCCTTGGACAGAAAGGAGTTCGTGAAGAATGAAGTAAACATGCTGTTGAGCATTGGGCATATAAGGAAAGTACATGACGTGCCCTTGTCGTGAGGTGCACTCAAAATAATTTATCAATACGACACTAATACGTAGTATACTGAGGTAAGGTTCGTATCCACAGGGAAAGGAATACTTTTCTTTTATATAAGTAGTATCAAGGGAGGTTTAGATTTGTTTGATTTAAATATACTAAGATGAACAACCTATATGAGTTTGATTAATAGATGTGGTGGCTTGGTTTTGCTTTTATCCGCTTAATGAAATGTTCGTCGATCCCGGTTATATCTTTAACTATCTTCCTCTCGAATACTCAATCGAGGAGTATATTCAGTTCATCGAGGGTAGTTATTAATAACGAGATGCGTTCATTAATAAAACTTACTATCGAGTCAATATAGAACAAGCGTCGTATATTAACTTGATAGTAGCAATAAACTTAAGATGAAAAACGATTGAGATTGATAACCTCAACACACGCGGTTTATTGGTTTAATCAATATAATTAGTTCCCCTTGGCATATTAACCATGAGATGCATGCATTAATAATCCAAGTTTACTACCGTTGAAAGAACCGGATTAATAACAAGCGTATTAACCGATTGATTCTAGTAATAATTAATATGAGAAACAAAACTAGTTGATACTATAAGTAATGTTTAAAATATTAACATGAAATGTGAATAGGAATTAATTA